AAAAGTCACAAAATGACTCAAATGAAAGAAAACTGATCTTATATACAAAATACGAAAAAAAACATTGACAAATTCATATGAAAAATATCACCAACACTTGACATAAATTTTTCTCAGTTTTTTTTCTTTCTCTCTTTCTTTTTTTTTTTGAATTTCAGTTTTGAATCTTGACTTCCTGCTTCGTTAGGCCATTCTCGACCGCCTTTGAAACTGCGTCAGTTACTTCCTTTAAAAAAAAGTTAAAACTAACATGCAACATTGAAAACCTGCTCTTTAATAAAGCGTACCGTTTGTAGATTTAGTCAAGTTAAAGTGATTCTACAAATAACCTACAAAAAGCGCCGGCTTACTATTTGAATAATTAGGTATGGAAGCCGAAATTCCACGCAAGCTTTCCATACTTTGAAAATGCTTCTTCCTAACTTGCTATATTTTTCTACTTWGTGCGAGAAAGTGAATATTCTGTTCTGTTTTTGCTGGTTTTATTTTCCTCTAGGCGAGCGTGATATCGTTTTCCTGTATCTCTAATCTAAAGTTTTGTATTTTGAATATTATATTTAATGAATATATAATCATTGTAAGGTTCTATCCATGAATAGTATTTATGTTAATGATAATAATATTTGTTAGCCAGCACTTCTCTCTTTGATCCTTTCTATCGTTAGTTACCCTTTTTAAAGCACTTCTAATTTAAAGTAAAAATCTAGTTTATGCGGACCTACTTACTTGCTCTCAACGTCAGTAACACCRCGGCCAGGCACTTAAGCGCTTATGAGTCTACTGATTTGATGTGGATCTGCACTCGGTTAGTAAACTATGGTCATGATGTCTATCATACTATAGCGTCATACTAGTATATATATATATGGACAATACTCGACACTCCCATATAGTTAGCTCAGTCAGGATACAAGTCYTTGTCTGGTCCCTATTGCCCAAACTGAAAGCATTGTTGTCAGAATAATACTGATACGCCTCTTAATATAGAGAAAAATCGCAGTTGTCAGTATAGGTATAACAATTAAGGCAAACAGTACCTTCATATGCACTGAAGTTGGCTGTTGTATGGAGACTAAAATTCTCGACTGAGTTTTTCTCACTTCTCTATACTGTGCAGGTATATGGCATGTGTCTTATTGAATTGCACCCAATACAAATGTTTCTTTTAGTATCAAAATAAAGGAAGACACAGTATGTGCTGCGCAAACGCAAAGAATGCCGATTTGTCAGCTATCCAGCCCAGATACCAAAGAACTCAAAAGGTCATCGAAAATAGGCTCGTCTAGTTCTCATTCCCAAACATTTATCTATCGCTGTCAGATGAACTCTATGTGTTTATCCATTGCCTTGTCTTGTTATTTAGTCAGACGCACTCTTTGTTTGTTGAAAGAATACTATTAACAGGCAAGCAGGTAGGTCATGATGAGGGGTATAGTCTATACGAACACAAGGGACTACCACAAAATACTGTCGCTATACAGAGTATCTTTGTTGACGTGAATTATTGGCTCATTTTAGATGTTAAATAGAGAATATCATCCCGTATTGTTTTCTGAAATAATTGACAACAACTCAAAGTATTGACGGGTAGGCATTGTGGTGTGTACATTGAGACCAAAGCAATTCACGTTTYATATGGAGTATTAACGACCTTTTCGATTTGTTTATCGGAATGATTTGCAACGGAAGAGACAAGTTTTTGTCGATAAGTCAAGAAACAACTCATAGATTGTTCTCATAACTTGAAGAGAAAATTAATTGCCATGTTGTCTTTGATTGGGGAAATGAAAAGTAGCCCCCCCCCCTCCCCTCCTGATACTGAGAGAAAATGGTAACTAGTTTTACTACGCACTTTTACCCGACGACAGTCTAAAAAGAATGTTGATTCCTCTGTATGGATGGCATCATAACTACAGTAACCTTTGCTTCTAATCTCAAGTAAAGTTTTTACATATCACTGAGAATGACAAGCAGTGCACTACCATGTGTTTCTGAAGTAGCTAGATAATTGTTTTCCGGCTCAGTATTCAAAGATAAGACTTCAGAACAATCTTAACCATCTTATTCATCTCGCCWAAAGAAAAATTATTTACTTTATAGCAGATATAAATGGTTGAAAACTAAAATACACTTGCTATATAATTGTTTAAACCATTACGATAGCTTTAGCTTGATGGCGGCTTTAGTTTGTAAACCGGCGTTCTTGAGCTGACTTTGAGCGATAGCATTTACACAACTATTGAATTAACGCTGCTTACTAACCAAGGCATGCCTTAATAATTTTGTGGCGGAATCGACTCTCAGGTACCCTATACAGAGACTTTACTGGAGGAACTTTATATCCTAGTAGTACAGTTGGTCCCGGTCTTGGCAAGAGAGGACATCCTTTAATCTCTAATCTTCTTACCTTGTTCAAGATATGTTATCCACGGCTTATTCCAGAAACACTGAAGCTTATAAAACCACGCCCGATTCACAGACACATTCCGATAGAATTATATACCTAATTGCACCCCTTGTCCACACATGAAATTCTCGTTTGCGTCGAGGCAATAAAACACATGTTTAAATACATTTTGATAGCGTCATCAGGTGACATTGTTTTCTTTAGACAAACAATAAATAGTCAAGCAGTCCCAAAAGTAAACATACCAACTAATTATTCGTTACTTGTTACGTTATCAGTCTCAGGATCACACAGCAGGGTTCAACTGGGGTCAGTTTGTTTGTTCAATCGAGTGATCCACTGTTTTGAATCTTAACATTTTTGGTTGTGCAATTCGTCAAGACAGTTTTTTACTATCTAGGTCAGTATTATATTGCAACTAATATTTCTATTATTTACTATTATTATATTGGTATAAGCATAAAGGTAACTAGGGGTAACTTTTTGACATTCTCGCTAACTTACAATTATATCAAGTAAACCCTCAGATGATCATGAGCTTCAGTAATATTTCAACTTTATTTCGATTATCAAACTCAATGTATTATTGGTTTAAAACAGAGAGAAGAAGAGGGACATACGCGTTTAAACTTAGGCTTGCAACTGGATGCATAATTGATTGAAAAACTATAAAAAGATTACTAGAAATCTTGCGATGGTGCAATACACAATCTCGATTGGTCATATATATAACTGCGAGCCCAGCTGCCTGAGTGATCATACAACGTTGTGTAGATCTAGACGCCACTGGAAATTTTGTATTTACTTCTTCGCTGTTCATCACTGAGTAGACTTACATGTAATGTTCATAAGAGATGAGGCGGCAAGCCGTGTGGGATGGGCTCGGAAATAAGAACATGCGTAATAGGTAAAATACGAGCCTTGTATGAAAAGACTGACTTCTTCAGTCTTTCCATACAAGTCTCGTAACTTACCTATTACACATTCTCTTATGTGATGTTCATAGTTTAGCTTACTAGTCTTTAATAAGATTCTTATTAAAGAATACACCATATAGTGCGAAAGAACATTTCTTATACTTGCTGGCTCACAACAATCGGTTAATGTAGCTTTCAGYAAGGCACTGAACAACTGATTGGATTTGGCACGACTCGTTGATGCATTGATCACATCCTTCTCAGTTTAATAAGATTTTTATTAAAGAATACACCATATAGCGCGAAAGAATATTTCTGATACTTGCTGGCTCACGACAATCGGTTAATGTCGCTTTCAGTAAGGCACTGAACAACTGATTGGATTTGGCACGACTCGTTGATGTATTGATTAAATTTTTAACCAACCTTTTTATTTTCTCCAAACTTTTTCTGATTATGGCATTGCGGAAGACTGATCCTCGTTAATGTTAGCTTATTTTTGCCGAACCATGCAGTCAATTTTTTTGCCCACACAACCTTTTTGGAAAGTCGTTTCCACAACAAAAACGCGCAGCGTCACCGACTTGCTATGGTTTGTTATGATGGCATATGTTTATTTCAACATTTTTTTAAACTCTCCGTTCTCGAATCGCTGCATTTTAGAGAACATTTTCGAAGTGGTTTAATCCGTTTCAGTTTGAAACTCTAAGCAATTCAGCATGCCATATATTGCACACCATCCTTTACACTCTACAGCGTACTAAACAGGACACTGTACGGTACGTCAATTCCACAACCTATCGTACAGTGCAAAGTACAGTAATGATGAAAAGGTAAATTATACACCGTGAAAAGATGAAAAAACTTACTGACGTTTCGGACGCTTGCTCTTTTACTCCGACGAAGGACTAGCGTCAGAAACGTCAGTGCGTTTTTTCATCTTTTCACGGCGTATAATTTACCTTTTCATCATTACTGTTTCATTAGAAACACCGACGCAGCTCACACTAGTTTTTAGCTAGTTATATCTTTTTGCAAAGTACAGTGATCAGTGTACAACACAATATATAGAGTATAAAGTTGTGCGTTCGTCCCCCTTTCGCACAAATAACTGTACTTTACTGTGTACATTCCACCACCCATCGTACATTGCACAGTACAGTGCTCAGTGTACATCACATCATGTAGAGTATAAAGTCATGCGTTCCCCCTTTACCAAAATTAACTGTACTGTACTGTACTATACTTTATATTCCATCATTCATCGTACACTGCACATTACAGTGATCAGTGTATATCCCCACATATAGGACCTGGGTATTTAGGACATAAAGTCGATCGGGCCTTTCTTTCCCCTTTCCCACAATGAAACAAACCAGATCATTGTCAGCTCATTGTTATTTTATTGTTACAAGTGTTAATAATTTTCAAACCAATTTATAGACTTCGTATAAATGGATGAAATGGAGCTTATATCTGATTAAAAATATTACTTTTATCACAGCATGCATAAGATAGAAGACTAACCTTATCTTACTATAGATTGAACTAATTAGACAGTCTTGCGCGGTACGTGCCTGTCTATACTAACAATGTCTCCATACGTGGTTTATTATATCCGTTACGTTTATATATATTATATATTTGTTTTAACTTAAATAAATGTCTTTATTTAGACAGCAATTCCATCAAGATCAGATATCTTGGCGTCAGTGGATGCTGTAAATGCAAGTAGAGAAATGTGTCACTGAAAGTTTGTTCACCTAAAGGTAAGGGATTGTCTTTTTATAATCCAAATAGTCTTTATTAAGAGATACAGTACGTAAGGGAATAGTCATTCGGCTGATACTTAGAGTGTACATGAAAGCGTACAAAATGGCCTTCCAAGAACCATTTTTTTTAGAATTTAATAGAAAGCAAAGCATTGGGGCTGGCGGGGAACAGAGTGAGAAAAAAGTGACTTCAAACTGGAAGATCATTTTTTTACCCTACGACTGTACTGTCATTCATGTAGTGTAAGTTAAGGGGGGTTGGAAGTATTAACGATCAACTGTTATGCCTCAGTTCAATATTTTCGTGATATTTTCATTAGTTCGAACCGATTGATGGTAGAGAACTCACAATTTCAATTTTCATATAGAAATTGATGTGTTTTATGTCAAAGATAATTGAGTAAAATCATTATAGCTCTAGTACTTTCATTCGAACTTATTGTCATCTCAGTTTTGCTTGAACGCGGAGACAATACACGCCGCGCTAAAGCGTTTGATACTTTCAACTATAAAATAATTCGCCAAAAATATTATTTTACTACAAAAATCTGTTTTGTTGAAATAAATGGTGTCAGCGTTCAATACTTTTACTCTGCGTCGGCCGGAATCATGTAAACAACCTCGAGTAAAAATTAAAATCTTGAGTGATACTATAATATCGAAAGGGTAAAACTAGTACATTAAAAAAGAAAAACTGATGACTTCATTCATGAGACGTAGATCTGATAATCATTTCGTAATGGGCATATTTGTCATCATCGTCATTATCTTTTTATTCAACATTAATTAACGTAACATAGATCTTAGTTAGATACTGTAGGCCTAGATGAAAATTACTTATGCAATTTCATTCATCCAATAAAGTGTATTTACTATAGTTTGAATGATGGCGATTCTGCAGACAGTATGGGAGCAACATATACATTGTAGGCCTAGATGAAAATTACTTATGTAAGTTTATTCACCAAATAAAGTGAATTTACTATAGTTTGAATGTTTGCGATTCTGCAGACTGATATGGGAGCAACATTACAACATCCATTATCCTTTTTATCTCCTGCTTATCTATCTAGTCTGCACCCTTTCCTTTTATGCTATCTTTTATTGAGCTACACATAAACACTGTTCATAGTCTCGTTATCGCTCACGTAAACTAGGTTAATCTTCATCAGTAATAACGACATTTTGTGCAGGCTGAATGCTGCATGAACATTTGCGTCTATTATATGGTATGTACACTTTGCGATTCTTTTTTTTCATCATAATCTGAGTGATCATGGTGCCTCCTTTTCCAATATATATCATAATTAGTTATCATTTTATTTTATTAGTATGATATAAGTATGATCTTTCGAGGCCCACAAAAAGTAGTCAACGAATGACATCGCGTAAAACATCACACATTTTGACATTTCCTCTTTAGCACTATTTTGCAGTTTTTTGCAATTACCCCTTTAGAATCAGTAAGATAGATGTCTTGATGGTACTGTCACTTTGTGCAACTTGTTATGGCACATTACGCCCCAAATACTCTGCTCCGGAGCCTGTGTTTGTCTTCTTAAAATCTAGAATTTAAGGGCGCTTGTTTTTCTCTTTTCCTTTTATCTTCGAATAAAACTCGTTGGCTTTTCCTCTGCATTTACTTATGGATCTAAGTATGATTCTCATACACCGTGGCCTTGGCTCGATCCATTCATAAGTGTGACCTTAGCATTTTGTTTCTTATATTCAACTGTTTCACTAGAATTGTCTGGCTCCTTGGTCAGTTTAGTTAGGTCTCCATTGTGTTCAACTGGTCTTTGATATTCACTGACATAATTTGATGATCGGTTATTACTTCCATCATAATTCTTTCCTCTGAAGCAGCTCTTAAACATCTGATGAAAAGCTCTCCGATATGGTCTATTTAGACAAGTATATATTATTGGATTCAAACAACTGTTTAAATATGCCATCCACTTTACAGCCCTTAAGGCTGGAATAAGCTCTGGTCTGTAGACATGAGGTCTGCAGCACAATAAAAGATAAACCGACAAAGTGATCAGGAAAAAGGGCAGCCAACAAACAAGGAAGGTTCCTATGACAATAGCTATTGTTTTTGCAGCCTTTATATCTCTGCTGTAGTTCCCCAGTCTAACTGCTTGCGAACGGGCAACGAAGTAGATCCTTGTGTACATAACGATCATGGAGAACAAAGGAAGAAAGCAACCGAAAGTTACGACGAGTGGAATGTATTTCTCACGCAGGAACTCTTGGTTCCCTATGACTCGACCACTGGTGATAATGATTGAGTAAATCCACGTTGCAATAATGACCACAATCACTCTGTTGTGAGTCAAGATACTTTGGTAACGAAATGGTGAAGTGATAGCCAGCTGTCTATCAAAACTGACAGCAGCTAGGTTCGTAATTGATGCTGTTCCAACCAAGATATCCATGCTGCTCCAGAACCTGTAGACAGCAGGACTGATGATATGCAAGTAATCTCTTTCCATGTCTTCTGTTAGCTGTAGAACAAGCCAAAAGGGCATGGCAAACAAAGCGACACATATATCAGCCAAGCTTAGACTGATAATGAAATAGTTACACTTGGTCCTTAAATGATGAAACTGGTAGAAGCACACGACCACCATAATGTTGCCAACGAGGTTTAGTATTATTTGCAAGGCAACGAGTATTGCTGCTGAGATGTTGCTGCCGTTAAATATGAAGGCAAAAGGAGGTGACGTAACATTGCCACTCTGATTCATCTCTGCGATATTGAAATTGCTTACCAAGGTAACCTACAAAAAATTAAGAAAATAGGATCAATAAATGTTCATGTATATGAAGACAAGCTGATTTAAAAAAATGAATAAAATGAATAAGAAATAAAAAGTAATAATAATAAACAACAACGCACTCCTTTAGTTTATATAGACTTGCAGAAGGAAGGCACATGTTATGAATACAATTTAAACGTTATAACCCGGCTATATCTCCTCTCAAAAATTTACTTTTAGTTTTTTTCATACTTTTAACTACACATCGGGTAAGATAAACACAATCCAAGCCGGTTCGTAGAAACACGAAATGATTAAATGAAAAAAACTTCAACCTTTTATCAAAGCACCCAACACTTTTCCCTGTAAAGCAAACCGACGAAAATAAAAATTGATCAGTTAGTCACGTTAGCTATTAGGGCAAGATAATTAATAAAACCCTTTCCCCCCGGTTAATTCAAAACGGAACTTTTCGAAAACGGTCTCCAGAGTGGAACAATTTGAAAACGCCGGCTAGCCGTATTAGTGTGGACGGAGAACATTTCGTATCCGGAACTTTTCGAATACGATGACGTCATGATTGTCATGGAAACTTGGTCGAAAGGCTCAATTTCAGCTTCGATGCACATGCTCAGATAAGCAATGAAGCGTTTTTGCCGCCTCTGATCGGACTAGTGTGGACGCGAAACATTTTCTCCGTTTTTATGTGTGGACGGAAAACATTTTTTTTCGGTCTCGGTGTGAAAGTTGCAGATTAAAATTTATCCGGCATAGTGGGGACGGGGCCTTAGTTGTACGAAAAGAATATATTAACAATACTGAATTTTTTTGAAGTTTTTTTGAGTTCGTACTATACTGGATACTTTCCCGGCACGGTTTAGGTGGTTGAGATCTCAGTAGTATAAGTCAAAAATAGCTCAATCTGGGTTTGGGTTTAATAGTGGTCAGGTAAAAACTGATGAATGTTTTATGACTTTTGCCTCAAGCATTAATCCAAGATCTCCGCGTGGCGTTATAGAAAACTAACAAACACGAAGCATCCTGTTTTATATTTTCGCGTGATTTACCAACAAAGTTAGATGTTTATCATCTTTAACAATGAATATTCAATTGCTATTTTGTTCAGAGGCAATTTAAAAGAGAAAATCGTAATTATGAATAACGATAGCAAGAAATAGAAGTAAAACTGTTTGCGTGAAACTGGGAAAAATTAAAGCAGAGTGAAAGACCGGTAGTGAAAGTGTAAAGAAAGTAGTAATAGCAAAAAACATAAAGCAGATTGAACACTGCCGTAAGACGAAATCAAGTTATAATCAGTAAATGTGAACAAAAAAAATTGAATTCCAACAGTGATTCAATTGATGTAACCGTTATGCAAATTTTATAATATTCCTTAGCGCAGTGACCCCTTTTTTTAAACTCTAATGATGAAATATTTTATACACTAAGAAACCATTGCTTGGAATAAATGAATACAAGGCTGAGAAAAAAAGGTCGATCGAAGAACATAAAACCCTTGTTTCTTCATAGATACATGAAGTCAATAACGAAGTAAGTCATGATTTGATGAGGGTTTGCTGTAATCGGTGCAAATTCTAAGCGTGATTAACAAGGACTTGTTATTGTCTCTCACGAATGGTGGAAGAGAATGAACATCTTGAGACTATCTTGACATTCATTGTTCTTTGTAACTGTTTTGGTCAAATATATCAAATTCATCCTCAGAGACCCGCAGCTGTTCCACAGATTTTGATTTTTTATCAAAACTAGATAATCACTTAGCTAAAACATGTTATCATGAATTCCAGTTTTTCTTTAAAAAAACACCATGTAATCCTCTCTGGATCATTGAGGATAAGGGATTTTCTTGTCTAAATCAATCTACTATAGTTGCACATCCCAATAAAGAATTATTTTAATATTTATATCATAATAGAACTCTTTAAATTCATTGCTTTACACTGAATTAATGACTTACCTGTTCAGTGTTTATTACGAGATCTGTAAAACCCGGGCACTTTCAGTGTGGCCCAGATCATCAGCAAATGATAGGGATGACGCTTCCCCTCTCTTTTATGCCACTCTTTAACGGCCTTTAATATTACTGTTTCCCTGCTGGGCAAATGGTTATCTCATCGACCAAATCGCTTTCTGTTTCGGTATCCTTTCTGTCGATTTCAAACAATTTTCGTTTAGTCGTAGAATGAGAAACTCTAGATACATAAAATACGGGYTTAACAGATTGCCCTTGCTGCGAACGCGTTCAGCAATCCGCTTTCAAACCAAAACCCTCCGGCGCGGTAAGTGGAGTTGCACTTAGGTCGGGTTATTTAGTTTTTGAATATTGATTTCAAGGATTATCAATGTCAGACAGCTTTAGAACATCAGTTTTTACCTTGTTCTTAGTATTTACTACCTCGTTTCCATATTCATATGGAACATTCTAGGTATTTATTTCTTATCAAAAATGACAGGCATGCAAGTAGCGCAATATAGAAAACAAGCAAGTGCAGTGTCTCCTTTATATCGTATAATATCTATGGTAGCTGACAACATTGTAATTCACTTGAACTTACAAGCACTTAGGAAAACAGACTAGAGCTATAGATATCACCTTATGCTGGCTTACAGATTGTGGTTGATATAAACTGTTCATTACAAGAAACATTCTATTATGAGTTTCATTTGTGACTTTTGTTTCAGATGTCTCAGGACGCACATATACTCGTGTTTTGACAGTGTCTCTAGTTATTCCAGGATTCAATAGATTAATAATTGTAATTGCCCTCGAGGATAAAAAAAATATTGGAAAATGCCAAAAAGAAAAAAGCTGTTATATAATTACTTATTAATGATCCCAGAAATAATTCACTTTATGGATATTTTAGCCGATTCTTAGATTATTTCTTTAATACCAATACATCCAAAAAAGGGTTGAACAACCACTTGACGATCTTTCATTTGCGGTCAGTTTGGTTTTAAAAAAGTAAAATTCCTTTAAAGTGGATTTTACATAATTAAGAAACATGATACAGACCAGGACCGCAGACATTGATTTAAGATGGTGAGGTTTTCACGGTCATTGATTGGTTTAAGTTACAGTATTCTCCTCAGTAAAGGTTGGACCATTAGATAAATGAGGGGGGGGGTTGCGGATTACGGAAATTTATGTTGCACGATATTTGCATATTTTTTGAAACAGACCCTGTACGCATTTATTTATTTATTTATTTATTTTTTTGCTTTTGCTCGATATATCTTTACTGAAAGGAGAGGTTGCACCATAAGTTTTTCCGAGGTGAAGTAATTGCTCAATATTTTTTTGGGAATTAACGCAGCCCCAACATCAATTATCTTATGTTCTGTCCCTACTGAAATTGCTGAGGTAAAACAGGCACTGTCGGAGATCTGAAATCTGAGACCGAAAGGAATTGTGGGTTGTAAGTAAGTAAATTGTTTGTGGTTTTAATAAGTAGTTCGCAAAAAGTTAATATCTTGATATACTAACTTTGAGCGATGACCTGCGCTGGCAAACTGTCTGGGTAAGTGTATATTGAATTTTGAACGAGAAAAACACTCAGTCCCCCACAATTCCAATCGGTCTCAGACTTCTGATTTCAGATATCCAACCGACAACGTTTTCTGAAATAGGTGTATAAAAGTTGGACTGAAGGAAAGACGGACGGACGGACGGACGGATGGACGGACGGACCAACCAATCAATTAACAGTTTTCTAAGATAGAATTTGACTAGCTATGATTTCATAGGGGATACATTACACCATTATTAAATTGTTATATGCATGTTTTTTTCCCATGTCAAACATGTCTTTACCCTTTATAGAGGATCTAAAAAAGAAGGCTCTGCTAAAAGGGTAACATATTTCCTGTTTTGATTAATAATGGAGTTTGCACTTGACATCATGATCTAGCTCTTCTCTATGGTTTTTCCTGTTCAAAATACATCCATGTGACCGACACGATCTTACGATACTTACATAATCCTATGATCTTTTACTAAAATCAGATAAGACGGGATAACGTTATTATCCACTTTGAACGTCATATTAGATAACGTGTCGACTTTAATTCTGCTTACGTATGCAAAAGTAAAAAGCTATCGAGATTTGATTTCATTAAGCTGTTAATATGAGCTWTTTTTAGGGTTAAAATCGTTCCTTTACGGATGTAAAAAATATCAAATTTAACGCTAAAGGTATTCTACAAATAAACTGTTGGATGTTGGAAACTAATTGGTTATGTGACGTCAGTCCGCTAGAATGTGAAGGTCACCGCGTGGTCTGATTGTAAGAGTTTGTTTTAAATAACGTTAGCTTGTGAACGATTAATAAATTAATTGTCACTTGGGTCTATAGTGTTGTGATTTCTGTGCAGAACGATAGCCATATCGAGGTCGAGCAATAAAACTGTGTCGAGTTGGCATTCCAGTGCATTGTGGGACTGTTTTGGGATACAAAACAGACACCACCTTGGAAAACTGTCTCTTAAAACAGTCGAGCAACAAGAAACAGAACCAGAACTATAGTAGAAAATAATATACATCTATTGAAAAGCTTTGTTGTAGAGCTAATGTCATTTTTGATAGCCTCGTTACTCTTGACATTGATTGAGTTCGACATGTTTACGAAAAATTCTTAAGAAATGCTCTGTGGCATGTCTTTTATTGCTATTCAACCCCTCGAGGCGAATTTTATTAGTTTATTTGGAATTGAATACTTTATCGATATGGGGCATTAATTAAGAAATTCATGCTTGATACTTTGATGCTTGATGAAACAACCAAAAGACTAATGTTCAAGCTCAGTAAAACTTATCAATGCATAAACCTAGGTACTATAAGACATCCATTCAGTTTCTACTGAAACAACGTATTCCAAAGCTGACCCCTGGTCAACTGCTTAGATCTTCGGCTGAACTAGCTGGGCCTTCAGGCTTGCGATTCTACGATAAAATACTTGATCAAAACCATTTACGTGTTTTTTTTTATATTGTCTTTGCCGACATGGTTGGACCTTCACGAGAGGTATATTGATTAATTTTGAGCAAAGAAAAGAAACCATCTTAATTTTGAAATACTGAATAGAATTTTATATCCTATTTCAAGTCAAGGAAGCATCCAAAACAAAGTCAATCAGTAGTACACTGTGGTTTGATTTAGTGACGTGAGATAATATCATATAGGTCTAAAGTTATTATTTATTAATATTTATCATCACAAAGCCAAGGTGTCAGTTTTTATAGATTTTTTTTTTTTGAGATAATGTTTGGATCAGCATGATTAGCTATCTGAGTCTTACGGATCAAAAGTAACTTGTCATGGGCACATTCATTCGCAGATTTACAACAAATTGGGTTGTGTAATTTTCAAAGAACCACTATGCAAATAAACCGACTGTTAGTTCATCTTTGCCGTATAAAGTGCAGTTATAAGGGCTCAAAAATTGAGAGAAAAATGAAAAATTTCGAAATCTTTGTGTGCTCAACATAGACTAGACCTGTATCTACACTTAGTTTTAGACACCTGAACGAATAAAGTTTTAAATCAATTTTGGACCACAGGTACTGTAGATGCGTTGAAGTCTAATATAAGCAATATAAGTTAAATATAATTCGTTTTCGAAAATTAAGGTGGGCTTACTTACACTTTGAAATTGAGGATTAACTCCGGCGTTATTTAAAGATAAGCATGAAAGATTTAATCCACGAAAAAGTAGAAGCTTACCTCTGCAGTGTGCTTGCAATAGCCTGTACCGACTTTTATATAATTTAACGCTTTTTACCTAAATTTAATGGAGCGGCTCAAAATCAAAGCGAAGGCCTGACTTCCTGCTGTGACCTCGAATGATGTATTTTTCATCACCCTGTTCTAATTAGCTCAAACTATAGTTATAAGTTTATGTTGTACGACAGGGTTAATAAAACTGAAGACCTCCACGGATACAAGTAGAAACAAGGAATGAGATCGATAGAAGACACTGGAAGGTTTTTGAATTAAATCAGTCGAAATCCAACACTGGCCATGGGTTCATGAGCGAAAGTAATTAATCGGCCCTCGGAACTACCACTTGAAGTTCAATAAATCGCACTTGTTTTTGAATGATAACTATGTCATGTGCTTGAGTAATCTATTAAAGAATTTTACTCTTAGTATACGGTTGAATTCAGATCGGCGTGGCAAAATCTTTCTAGTTAGTAAGAGCTAAATTTGAGCATTACTATTTACTTTTCTTCCAGACTAAGTGCTTTATTCTGGGATTAAAACTTATGACATTACTATAACTGATGTTTCAAGAACTAAGACAAACTCTTCATTAAAGTTCATAATGTATTTTGAGTGCGGATGTAAAAGCCTACTGAAACCATATCCTGTAAAAGCTTTTATGGGGGAAAAAGACCTTATTAATTTGATATAAAATATAAAATATAAACTAAACTAGGTTAGACGTCGAGATGCCTGAGTGCAGGTTTCGCATTTTGTCGCCAACGCCCATTTCTATGTCTCGACGTAATATTTCAAACACGCGAGAGAGTTCTTCCTTAGATTTCCAAAACCGAAAAGTGAGTTGAAAAAACGAGGCGCAGCCGAATTTTTTAAACTGACTTTGAGGTGTTTGGAAATCGAAGGAAGAACTCTCTCAAGTGTTTCAAATTACTTCTCAAACGCATGAATATTTCTTGGAGAAAATCAAAGAAAACATTTACGAAATTTAATGCAAATTAAGAACACATTTCCAAACCACCGTCACAGTAGTGATTTTCTCCTCATTAAATATTCATGAGTTTTAGAACTATATTCAAAAGACCGAATTTCGATCCATGTTACTGATAAAATGATTGATGAGACCATGCCATGACCACGACGCATTGCGATATGCCAAATTAGAACCATGCATGATATGTTTTACGTTAAGATGGATGAATACTATTATCATAATCACATTAGTAATGATACATTTCGTTTTCAGAGTTTGTTAGTCACAGATATTGGCAATGTAACGAACACTCTCATTGGCTGATAGATGATCATGTGACACTGAGTAAACTAAATATATTTCGAGCGGGAAATAATCAATTTAATTTCCTGAAAAGGTAAATGCAGGTGACAAAACGATTAAAATAAACCAGTGCACGTAATCGGCAGAAAAATACGAAAAGCCTGTGGCGTGTTGTTTTGTAAGAATATGAACAACGAAGCKCGAACAGGCATTTTGCAATTTACGCAAGAAAGAATTAGTTTTTTTTATAGTCTTAGTTATAAATAAATGAAAATAAATACACATTCTCATTGAGAAAAAGGATTCAGATAATGAAATACCAAAAAGCCACTGAAAATATTACTGCCACTCCCCTAGCATTTCAGTGAAACAGAAGACGGTAGGTAGTTATCGGCTTATTTTATTGGAAAAAATTATTAGCCACCTTTATGGTTTGCTGAAAGTAAAGTCCTTATCTTATGAATTGACTTTAGCTTCATTATTTCACGGTTGCTCAGGAAACATCGAAACTTTCGGTAAAAAAAAMCAACTATTTTTCTGGTGGCCCGAGGTACAAATGAAGACTGTGACCACAATACATTTCTTTTATCGGTTAATGATTAATGGTTTGTACAATAATACTTCATTCTTTTGAGGACCCGAAGTGAATATCGGGAAATATTATTCAAGCTTGCGAGTCTTCCTCATTCAGCTTCGGTCCTAGATCCCTCACGGGCCGAGAGGATCTGGGACCAAAACTAATGACGGCTTTGGATTAAAAAAAAAAAAAAAAAAACAGATTTAAAAAAAGAGGATTTAAAAATGATTTTAATAAAGCATTTAAAAAAAATCACTCAGAATCACTCAGTGGTGGCTCGACCAATCACAGCGCGCGACACTATATTGACTGAGCTTTAAGTGTACTACATTTCTTAATTAACGTCCAACGTTGACCTAATATTTTCGTGATAAGATTACCGCGATTCTCAATATTCTGCGAACTCAGACTTTTCAACGGCTTGTAGAACTTGGTTTATTGACGCCAGTTTATAATATAAAAGTTACCAACTGATATTATTTTGGTTCAACGGCAGCAAAAAACAAAATTTCAGCGTGCAGGTAGAGGCTGCCGAGTTCGTCGAGTTCGCATCAGATATTGAAAAGTTAACTGCCAGATAAAAACGTTTTTGTAAAACTGGGTATAAGGAAAGGATAGTACAAAACAACGAAAATGATAGGTATTATTGAAAAAACCATAATCATTTACAAAAAAAGAGGAAAGGTATAGACAAGTAGAAAGTAAAGTAGAAAGAAATATCCTACCTTTCCTTTCTTGTTCCTCCTTCCTCTTGCCTTAGTTGCCTCAATGATCGATGAGGACAAGAACCCGTAATTTAAAGTMAAAAAATCGCCTTCAGCGAATCTAATGAGCAATTATTCGACTAATGCACGTAAAAAATCATGTTTTATTCATCTCTATTTTAACTTCTGAGGGTTATTTTTCATTACAGTTTTATTGAACTCTTTTTTTTTTTTAATGTTTTTTTTTTCCAAAACCGTTTTCTTAACTTTGAAAATACTTCTAAAACAAAATATTTTTTATTCTTTTTCTTTCGTTTTTCTTTTTTCGACCCCGAGGCATCAAACAAAAACAAACTAATGGAAACTTAAGGAAGGAAGAGAAAGATTAAGTTTCTTGATAAGGAAAACTCTGAACTGATTTCCTCCAACGTAAACATCAATTTAAAAAAATGCACTCTAGGGCCAAAAAACCAAAGCAAGTCAGAAACTTGAACATTTCTTTTTGAATTCTCTCTAATCCGATAATAAATCGCTGTGCTATCTTAAATTTTCGATATAAATAAATCATGTCCTATGTCTATCTTATAATAAATACAGTTTCAAGGTATTTTATGACAAACATCCACTTGAGCTTCTTCGAGTTGAGGCGACGAACTGATGGCACCTGAATTGGCCTATTTATTTATCTTTATTCCATTCTTTATCGATCGATTCATGCATCGATCAAAAAAATAATTAATTAAGTGCTCGTGCGAACAGAACTGATTTGATATAGAGAAAGGAAGAAGAAGAAGAAGAAAGAAAAAGAACGACAATTAGCGGTAACAATAAATAAACAAAAAGACAAACTAATTAAATAAATATCAGAACAGATGTAATTCCTTTTTTCACAAAAACCCACAAAAATATCAATGAATATTTCATATAGTAGCCAGAATATAAATGTTGTTAGAACTTCCTTCTTAATACTAAATTTATTTTTTCTTTTGCCCTTCAATTTTCTTAAAAAAACCCCAGTAAATATCATGATTTTTTCAAKATGTTCCAGTGCTTTTCAATTTTGACAAATGCATTTTAAGGCTTTCATTTACTTTTCCATCACGTATTTATATATATAGCACAGGGACTATTTATGCTAACAAACCCTAAAACCTTTTTTGCCGTGCCAACAAACCTGCTTCCTGTAARCATAGATAGAAATACGACTCTGTCTTACTTGAAGTGAGGGGATAATCTGCAGCCATAATGGAATTGAAATCTAAACAAATGAATAACGGTAGATCAGTTTGATCAAGTGATTTGCTTGTTCGGCTATAAAACCTTTTTCTGAGATTTGCTATCAAAGTTCTTCTTTTTTTAGCATGACAGCCAAAAAATGATTCCGGTTTCATGATGTCAAACCCGTTTTCTTTGGTACTTCAATCAGTGCTTATACTAAYATACTAACATGTATAAATACATCACAACATGCAGTATAATTCGTCTTTCTCATAGATTCTGCCCAATAAAACAGAAAATCCTATTATATCATTAACTCCAGCGTAGAAAAACGATAACGTGCTTTAAATGAAAATTCGAGATTAATCACGGCTTCTTACTAACCTGCTTTAAACGAAAATTCGAGATCAATCACGAYTTCTTACTAACYTGCTTTGAACGAAAATTCGAGATTAGTCATGATTTCTTATAATTACATAACCTCCTTTGAATGAAAATTCGAGATTAGTCACGACTTCTTACATAAACCTGCTTTGAACGAAAATTCGAGATTAATTAAGTACTTGTTTAACTTCTTACTTTTCAATTTAAAAGTTAGTATGCTTGATAATGCCATACGCGAAGCCAATCATAAGCCCCATAAAACAAGAATAAAAACACCTCACCTGATTCATACACAGAGATAACAGAGGGAGGTTAATGTACTAGTCCCAATTACTTTTTGCTAAAAGCTCGTTTAGTTAAGATGCCGTTAAATATGGCTAGAGCCTTTTAGAGATAATTAAGAAAAGAATCAGTTCAGGGCCGTAGCCACCGGTACGGTTGGTCCGGTTTCAACCGGACCAACTTTCGGTGAAAAAATATAAGAAAAATATTTTTAAAATGTAAGAAAAACTCAAAAACCTCGAAAACCGGACCAATCACAAATTTGTAGCTACGGCCCTGCAGTCCCCAGAATATATTGTAAAGTCAATGCTTTTTGTAATTCTATGATATTACTATATGCAAGTGGCTGTCTTTGAATGTTTTTATGTTATCAACTAAATTTCATTTGCGCGTTAACTAATATTAATTTTATTAAAAGAACRTCCATTTCGAGTAGAATCATAGTTAAACTCTGCATTAGAGAACGTCGCTTGGTTGTTCCGGCTTGAGAAATGCATGAGTCATATAGGCGATCCATATATTATCGAGGTCTTCGTTCACTTTATCGGTAGTTTAATGTGAAATAAAATATAAAAATAAAAGCTGAATTTAAGTTATGTCCAATCAATGTGTTTGTTTTATAGAAGTTTTCATGCGAATGTAAACCGTTTCAAAAGTTGTAAATCATGAATTTTTGTCCTATTGCTTACTATCAATCACGTGACTTTTTGGAGTTGACTGGGGGCAAACAAGCGGTTGACTGAGGGGCAACTAGCTGATGTAAAGTCAAAACATATTAAAATAAGTCCTCAAACTATTGCATTTGACTATTTCTACGACATGAAACCAGAAAACAAGAGACCAAACTGAACAACCTCCAAGATTCTACAAGCCATCAAAAAAGAGCTATTACCTGAAGTGACGTCTATTGATAGCAACCTATAATAGGCCAGGTTAGATATCAGGCTCTAGTCGAATGATACTTCATGTATTATAAAAACAAGTCGATCATAAATACATTTATTGGCAAGAATAAAATAATGTGCCATATACAACGTTTCTACCTTTCGGCAATAAAAAGAAAATTAAATTWAAAATGCTCATTGTCAGCGGTTTACCCCTCAAAAATGTTGTATGATCGAAACTACAGCACTATACCTACTTATCCTATCGAGAAACTTGATTTATTTATTTATTATTTTTTTCCACATTGAAATTTTGAAAATATTATTTCTCAGTATCCTGCTAGAATTTTCTTAATTTAATTTAATTTAATTTATTATTATTATTATTTTATTAATTTTTTTCCACATTGAAATTTTGGACATATTATTCCCCAGCTCACTATCGYGCTAGAATTTTAATATTTCGAACTTGACCTATTTAATATATTTAATACCAAGTTGCCCTTGTAAACCAGACTAGTAACTTCACACTTATTCATAATCATAAAGCACCGCATTAAGAAAGTCTACAAGTCAACTACCAATGTGTTCGTTTCTTACTTATGTTTTTTTAAATGTTTTCTTGAAATATTTTTTCTTTTATCATTTGAGAGTTTCGTTTTTGTATATCTTGTTTTTGCATCTATCTCTTTATGTCAAGATCGATCAGCTGCTCATTCGTGAGCGAACTTATGTCAGTCAGACATTTAATATTAAGATCAAAGGATACGGACGCGGATTAGATAATTCAACTATTCAGAAGATTTGATATCATAACTAGTATTGTAATAAAATATTTCTGCGCAAACTACATCAATCTAGTGACGCATATATTTCTGGTTTTTATAGCCGCCATCTTGGTTGGATTCAACAAAAAAATTGTCATATCAACCAAAATGGTCGCCGTATCTGTACATAGTAGATTTCTCTTCTAACATGTCCATTTAGTACCTAGCTTGTTAAACTGCATTAGCTATCACGTACATTTTATCGTTAATTAGAATCTCTTACTAACCTGGATTTGGGGATTTTCAGTTACTGGTTCACCAAGTCCTTGCACCGGCACTTTGACTGCGGTGTCTTGTATGATTTACAGTTCTCCTTCCTAAATCAAATAAGTACACATCTCAATTAATTTTCGGCTTATTTCTTGGGCTTTATTTATTAGATATCTTCGCCGCCTTCTTTGAGCTTCATCGCAAGACTTTGTTTTTGCACTTCTGTGTACATGTCGCACAACTGATACGAGTAGTTCAAGATAATGCTAGGCAACACCAAATGTAATCATGGAAATATTTCATTAATTTCACGATTTGAATGCAGTCAACCTTTCTCCTTTTTCATTTGATTGAGACTTCAACTCTGAAGATTAAGGCGTATTAAGTGGAATTTTGGGTATCCCAGTTTTTCTTCTATGAAGACTAAAGCTGTCATATAATCAGTCACCAAGAGAGTAGTTATTAACAAACTCGCTTTGCGATTGGATGATATCCATAGGCACCGACTGGCGATTGCTAGTTATTATAGTCAACAGCCACAAGTTCACTCATGTAATAAGTTTTCTCGTAAGTATATACCAGCCCATTGCTTTAGGCGAAAAGCAATCTTTTGATTGTAAAATGTATGTTCAATACACGTATGGACGGTTGTTCTATGATAACATGACGTGGTCGGCAGACGTAGTGGTATTTTATTGATTAATTCATATTCGAGTAATCGCCTACGAGTACGTTCACTCACGTAATTAATTTCTTAATTAACACGCTTTCCCGTTGCTTGGGTACGTGAATCCGGCTTGACTATTACTTTTTCATGCGTACAGAGTACGCATGGTCAGTTGATTTTTATGATGCCAAGATCAGAGTTAGTTGTAACATTGATTAAATCATTTGAATCTCAGTCATCTCGGTTCTTCAATAAACATTGATTTGAAACCAGAGTTCCAATATTGCATTGCAATTCCCTAGTAGCCCTAGTAAGGTACTAACACTTCATGTAAACCTATCAAAACTATTACCAAACAACGCACTGACTAATAAAATTACACCAAAATATATATTATATTATTATATATATCATGCTGAAAATAACACCAAAAATGTCATACACGAAATCACTTGCATTGCATGGCTTATTTTCCCCCTCCTTCATAATATAGTAGTATAGATTTATTTATTATTTATGTCAACGAATTTTATAATAAAACAAAGCACGGTAAGATGTAACTATGAATAAATAGAAAACGTAAAATCTCATCCTTTTGTAAACAAAACATTACTTGTTGAAATTGCCGAAGGGAGTCACAATTTGTAAATCTAGATATAGTCAGATTCATATATTCAAATATATATTCTACTTGCATATAAAGTTTTGAATGGTGTTGCACCATCTTACTGTGAATCAATCCAGCCATACAATGTAAGTTACGTTCAAATCACCAATATCTTCTTAAGGTGCCTTATTCAAGAACTGTTACTTTTGGGGACAGATTATTCTCTGTGTGTGCCCTCAGGCTATGGAACATTTTACCGCATGACATAAAGACTTCACCTTCAATTGACATTTTCAAGAAAAAACTTAAAACTTCAAAACAATAATGCGACGTTAAATAACATTTTACGAACATTCTTCTGATCTATTATGCCTGTATAAAAATATTTTTCCTATTTTATTTTTCATTATCTATTTATTTAATTTATTCTGCTTTATAATATTTAATCCTATTATGTATTTTTTTTAGAGTATATATATATTGTAAAAGCATTGAGATTTTTAAATGCGTTTTAAGAATTAAAGTATTATCATTATTATCATTATTATTATATGTTTATTTCAACTTCAGACATTTTTGCTACATGAATACAGAATATTGCGGGCATGAATAGTCTAAGCAAATATTATTATTATTATCATTATTATTATTATTATTATTATTATTACATATAGATCTTTACCGAGTGACAAAAACACATTTCAAAAATTATTATTATTATTGTTATTATTATATATCACATCATAAAAAATATATTCACATACATATATTCCAGAAAAAGATCGTTGGAGCCAATAAGCCCTGATAAGTGATCGCGGAACATAGGTCGTTCGAAGTTCCAAGAACAGCTGGAATTAACGGTGTTTCCTACTTATTATACTCTTCAAGAACACGGTTGCTGTTTTATCTGATTTGTAATGAAATGGATGAATGAAACTTTTATAAACACCTTAATCAGGTCGTGCTTAGATGTATACCCACAATTCCTTTCGGTCTTGAATTGGTCTATGACTCCAACAATAGGTGTAAAATTTATGTGTGTATTTTCTAACAAGTTCCTAACTTATTATATAGAGAAATGATCACTGTCAAACATAAGCTTTCCCCCCTACAAATGGATGATTTATCGCGGCATATTGAGTTTTATATCTACGTGTATGTATAATGGGCTAGTTTTATTGTGCATTTTCTTTTACTTTAATGGATTTTGCCACTATCAAAACTAGATTAGTATTTAATGTCCAAGTTCAATCCAATTAATGAGTGTGTCCTAGAAACATCAATTAGCGGTCAATTTTATAGATTATTTGTTAAGCCGAGAAAGAGTTTTCCCCTTTGGTTAAACAGCATTTTGTATACCTGGGTAGAAATTAAGCGGTATTTCGGCCGATAAAGGATAGAAATGAGAGAGAAAGAGAAGAAGAAGAAGAAGAAGAACGGGAAGAGAAGACAATAGAAAATAATAATCTATGCCACATTTTTAATATGTTTTTTTTATATGTTCAACTAGAATATTCTTAATATAAATCAATATTGATGAGAATATCTAGATTCTTATCGCCACGTATCTATTCAATTTATGATCCATGTCATCAAAACTTTGATTTGTCTAGAACCTATTTCCAATCCTAGATATAGCTCACTTTCTTCTCAGTTTAATTATCTGTTTTTCTCGATGGTTTACTAAACTGTGTCGTGAGTAACGAACAAAGCCAGAAAATTCTCGAAGCCTTTTGTTTTCTGCTTGTTTTTGTATACTGTTTTCTTGTTTTGTTTTGTTTCAGTCGGTTGATGAAAAAGTAAGCGCACATATTTGAAAACGAAAAGTGAAAACATCAAAAAATCATTAGGAGGAAATTGGTATAGTCCTATATAGTTGAATGCATATGTATTTTAAAAACAAGTCTCAAAAATATGAGTTTGTTGATAAGCGCTGTCTTTCCTCCGAAAATAACCCATGTTATCTTATGACCCGTATCTGCCCGGGCGCGCGCTCTTAGAAGAACCTTCGGGAAAATGGCGTGAGCAGGGCCGTACAAATCCGTACGGCCCTGCTCGAATCCTGCGACCATATTGACATAATTTGCAACTTTTATTAAAAATATCTTTTTTATTTAGGATCATGATAAAATGCTTATTGACTGAGTTAGGTCGGGCCGTACGGGAAAATATTTGGCTCGAGGTGATGCTGTACGGACCGAGCGCAGCGAGCCCTCCCACTCAGCCAATAAGTACATATTATTTTCCATTACATTTGAGAGCCCACGCTGTTTATGGCAAGCGGATTACTGTTTCCGATTTGCATGCATAATTCCGTCCAACTAAAGACCCAACTAGATTTTCTCAGTCTGTGTAAATTTATAAGCCAGGTAAACATCGAGTAAACATTCTCCTAATTTCATGCCGGAATCATGAAATGTTGATTCAGGAAAATATCAATCCAATAGGTTGCTCTCAATAGACGTCACTTCCGTTAATAGCTCTTTTTTGATGGCTTGTAGAATCTTGGAGGTTGTTTTGATCTCTTGTTTTCTGGTTTGATGTCGTGAAAATAGTCAAATAYAATAGTTTGAGGACTTATTTTAATATGTTTTGACTTTACATCAGCTAGTTGCCCCTCAGTCAACCGCTTGTTTGCCTCCCAGTCAACTCCAAAAAGTCACGTGATTGATAGTAAGCAATAATAGTATAAGTCTTGATATACCGCATAGGAGCAATGACCATATATACGTAATGATTTATAGAAGGTTTGAAACTCTAAGTCATTCAATATTCTACTCAGAAACGCTTTCCCAGAACCATTTTCTTTATGCACTGTATTTAATTAATGCATGCATACTAAATCACGGATATCAGTATAGGATTTTATTAATTCAAATGTTGATGTTTGGATGTAACGAGTGTACCGATGCGATGCCCACATGGCATCGCTGTCCATGCTAGCGCTATATACAGTCAATTCAAAAAACGTTGTCGTTGACCGACTCAAGCCTACGCTACTGGACCGAAAGCGAATATGGGTAAAAATCACTGAAAGTGGTTAGATATTCGTTCTAAATAAATTGTCCCGCTAGTAGCAAAGATAATAATGGCGAGTAAAAAAAATTAAATGCATGTCTTCTTGGGTTTTAGGGAAAGAAAAACAAAGTAGTTGTGATTCAGTTCACAATTTTGAAAAACGTCTCCTTCAACACTTCCCGCTCGCCTACGAGGGTTCGTGCTGTAAACCAGGCATAACGAGTCAGATGAAATTATGGAGTCAACTCCGCTTCAATGATTGCTGCCCAGAGTTCCTTTCGGTCCAGTCGCGTAGGCTTGTGATGGTCGACGACAACGTTTTTTGAATTGACTGTAGACAACAAAACAATGTGCATAGCACCTTACATTTCATTATAAAGCATGTCTTAAAAGAGACAAAGTAAAAAGAAGTTTAGCTCTGCTTGTTCAGTGTGTCGAGGTATAATAAATATATTATAGGTATATTAGGTCAAAGAGGAAATGCAAATTAGCGCCTTTTCATTTTATTCCGCAGATTGTTATGGCGAGACTCAGTGTAGTAACAATAACAACCTTTTTTATGARCCTATATATTTTCATCAGTACTGATACCAGGATGCTATAAAAGATTGTCGAACGTCAGAATACCGACTTAATGGTTTTTCTATCAGTTGAAGCGTAATTCGTGTCTTTAAGTACTTTGGCTGTAGAAGCGACTGGAAGTTTATACAATATGTCATAGATCTTACGTTTAATAATTGAAGTCGATAAATCATTGCCCAAAATCACTAAACAAATTCATTCTACCAAACCTTCATATCCACAACTGCTGTTGT